AAATACATTGAGGCTGGCGCCGCGGCTCAATAGGCTAATCCTCCGCCTGCGGCGCCGGTACACCGGATTCTAGTCCCGGTCGGGGCGCTGGATTCTGTCCCAGTTGCCCCTCTTCCAGTCCAGCTCTCTGCTGTGGCCTGGGAGTGTAGTGGAGGATGGCCCAAGTCCTTGGGCCCTGCACCCGCATGGGAGACCAGGAGGAAGCACGTGGCTCCTGGCTTCGGATCAGCGCGGTACGCCGGCCTCAGCACACCGGCTGTGGCGGCCATTGGAGGGTGAACCAACGGCAAAGGAAGACCTTTCTCTCTGTCTCTCTCTCTCACTGTCCACTCTGCCTGTCAAAAAATAAATAAATAAATAAATAAATCTAAAAAATAGATTGATAACTAGGGGCTGGCATTTGGTGCAGCAGTTAAACTGCTTCTTGGGATGCCCACATCCCACATCAGAGTGTCTGGGTTTCAGTCTTGGCTCTGCTCCTGGTTTCCAGCTTCCTTCTGTTGTGTACCCTGGGAGGCAGCAGGTGAAGGTGATGGCTGCAGAAGTTGGGTCCCTGTCACACACATGGGAGACCTTGTATGAGTTCCCAACTCCTGGCTTCAGCATGGCCCAGCCTGAACTGTTATGGGCTTTTCTGGGGGGTGAGCCAGCAGATGGAGGATCTCTCTGGCTTTCAAATAAATAGCAATAAATAAATAAAAAAAGGCTTTTTTAGGTCAATAATCAATTCCAAATTACAGAAAAATGCTCTGCAGACAAAGGACCTCCACGTTTGTACTCTGTTTTGGCCCGAGGGTCCTGGTTTTCAGCCTCTGCTCTGTGGAGTGGGGATGGAGAGGGCTGGTGGCTGGAGATGACATCAGAGAGGTGGTGGCCTTGGAACTGGGATCTTAAAGGATGAGTAAGTGTCCTGTGGCGGGGGTGGGCAGGCATTCCAGGCAGTGAGAACTTCATAGCAGAGGCCGGGACGCTTGACTATCATCGATGTCTGGGCGAAGCTACGGTTGAGGGACAGCAGCTGGCAGTGTCAGCAAGGCCCAAGGTGGTGGTGGGGGGAGCACTGGGGCCCCTGCCCCAGTTGTCCTTGAGGCCTTAGTGGCTTGAGGGGGATTAGAGGCCCTCCCTCCACCCCCCCAACCTCCCCCACCCCCTTCTTTGCCCCTTGAGCCATACAGGCTCTGGAATGCAGGCAGCAGGGAGCGCCTTGAATGGCTGGTGGTGGGCCTCTGGGTGGGTGGCAGAGGGGCCCAGGCGGCCCCTGCTAGCAAGCTGGGTGGTCAGTGCTTTGTTAACAAAATAGCTGGGTCTCCCCTTGCCCCAGGGTAGCTTGTGGCCTTTTCTGGGACAAGGGGCGACTTTGCCTGCTCTCTGCCGTGGGTTCTACTGCAGGCTTGTCCTAGCTCCTGGGGGAGACTGTGGTCTCCAAAGAAGGCAGTGTGGTGAGAAGGGGACACAGCCTGGGTCTCCCCATGAGAGAGCAGCCTTCCGCAGCCCACATGTCCTGCAGAGTGACCGTGCTCACCCCAGCTTGACCCTGAGGCCTGCCAGAGAGATGAGTTTGGAGCTTCCTGGGCTGGGGTGTCACCACACCCAGAGTGTGGGAAAGAAACAGCAGCTGCCAGCTCTTCAGTGCTGTGGGCCTGGCCTGGCGCTGAGCATTTTCTCTCCATTCATTTTCGCAGCCATGGGAAATGGGCAAAATGTCCCTATTTGACAGGTGAGGAAACTGAGGCACCGAGCAGTTAAATAACTTGGCCGAAGCTTACCCAGCTGCATGTGGTACTTGGCTTTGCACTGAAGTCTGCAGGTGTTGCCAGTAGGGACCATCAATGTAGCATTTTCAGTGTGTGGGTGGTCCTGGGGGAAGCAGGATCTGAACTAGGAATTGTTAAATTTTCCAGCATATGTGCATATATATATACATGTATGTAAATGTTTATTTTTTTTATAGCAGTGTTAGGGTCAGAGCCAAATTGAGAGAAAGGCTCAGAGATTTCCCATCTGCCGCTGCCCTGACCATCGTGCCCCCACCAGAGAGGTCCATTTGTTCCAGTCAGGAGCCCAGCCTGAGCTGTCAGGCTCATCCAGCCTCCAAAGCTCGTGGGAGGGCCTGCTCCGAGCTTGCGCACCCTGTGAGTTAGGATGACCCTACGGCGATGTGTGTCCAGCACTGTAGCTCCACACAGGGGCTTCCCTGCCCGGAATGTCCCCTGGGCTCTGCCTCTCCCTCCCTCAGCCTCTGGCACCCAAGTGCATTTTTTTGTGCATTTTTTCTGTGTCTGAGAAATCTTGTCAGATTCCCACTCGGTCTGTGACCCCCAGATGCCTGAGAGGCTGTGGGCCGCATCGCTAGTGTGCTGAAAGGCTGGGCGTGTGATGGACGGCACTCAGGCCTGCCAGAGGCTGCCGCCGGAAACCCTCCGGGCATCCTTACTTCCCACCCACTGTGCTTCTGTCCTGGCCCTGGGCCCAGGGGTGGGACTTGGCTTTGGCTGCAGGCAGTTCCTATCACCCAGGACACAGACACCTGCCCCTTCCAGCCCTGTCTCCCAGCTGTGATGGGTGCCATTCCCTCTTCCACGCCTGGCTAGCCTCTTGTTCTGGTTGGTTTAAGTGCCACTTCCTCCAGGAAGCCTTCCCCCGTTTCTGTCCCTTCAGAGGAGTTTAATGCCCTGTGCTCTCCTCTTTACCCTTGTTTTCCCCTACTGCCTCACTCACCCCAGCACCGCAGGGCCTGTTTTCTTGGCTGTCTCTGCTCCCAAAGTGGGGCCTGAAATGCAGACTAGCAGAGGGGGACCAGCCCCAGAGATCATTCTGGCCCCAGCCTTCTCTATCAGGCAGGAAGCCCAGAAAGGGACAGGGTGTGCTCAGGGTCACACAGCATATCATGGCAGAGCTGGAGCCAGAACTGCTGTCTCAGTTGTCTCTCCATTTCACAACAAAAAGCGGAAAACAAACGTCACCCAGAGATAATCACTATAAACATTCTTGTTTGTATTTAGCATCCGTTTCCAGCCTGTGCATAAAACCATTTAACAAAAACACGGTCATACATACACACTGTTGCCCAAGTGCGCTCTGGTTTAGCAGTGTAGGTGGTGGCTGTCAGCAGACGGCCCCCTCCGACCTGTGGTGATGGCCACCTTGGACTCCAGCAGCTGCTCACCTTGTGACTGCTGTTTTTCTTTCTTTTATTTTTTTTTAATAATTATTTATTTGAAAGGCAGAGTTACAGAGAGAGAGAGATCTTCATCTGCTGGTTCATGCCCCAGATGGCCACAATGGCCAGGGCTGAACCAGGCCAAAGCTAGGAGCCAAGAGCTTCTTCCAGGTCTCCCATGTGGGTGGACACTTGGGCCGTCTTCTGCTGCTTTTCTCAGGCCATCAGCAGAGAGCTGGATTGGAAGTGTGGTAGCTGGGATCAAACTGACACCCATATGGCTTGCTGGCATCGCAGGCAGCAGCTTTACCCACTGTGCCACAGCGCTGGGCCCTCGCGTTATGACTTCTAAAGACAATCCCTTCTTGTTAGGCTCTTGTGTTATAAACAGCACTGGGGTTTGTGTGCTGGTGGGGAAGTCTTCGCGAGCTTCTGTGATTCCTCCCTCTAGGATGAGTTCCTGGAAGTGCGGTGAGTTGATCTGCGGCTGCTGCCCCGGTGCTGAGCTTGCTGTGTCGTCTTGGGGCCAGGAGGGCTTTTCCAGGTCCGCACCCGCGGCTGCACCTGTGGCTACTGCCCCAGCTAGGCTCTCACACCTGGCCTTCCTAACTTTCACCAGCGGTGGGTGATAGAAAGTCTCACACACACTGTGGCTTCGCCTTGTGTTTAAGGGTGCCTGGAGGGCTGCGTCTGAGGTGAGAGAATGGAGGCCTCGAGTCCCAGAGAGACAGGTGCAGGTGGCCAGGCCTGGGAGGTGGGGCTTCAAGCCAAGGAGTAGGCTGGAACTCAGTGTTCCAGCCACTGTGTGGACAGAGGGCGCAGTGCCAGGGAAGCCCTCCTGCTGATCCCTTGTCAAGCTTGGGACCCTTCGGCAGGGCTTGGACACTTGCTGCCTTGTGCACCTGCTAACACAAGCCCTGAAGGTCAGAGTTCCCTGGTCATGTCGGAGCAAATACAGACAACTGCCGTTTCTGTGTGTGTTTAATTTTTATTTGGTAAGATTTATTTATATTTATTTGAAAGGCAGAATGAGAGAGAGAGAGAGAGAGAGAGAGACGCTCCACTTGCTGGTTCATTCCCCTAAATGGGCCAAGCCAAAGCCAAGAACTAGGAACTCCATCTGGGTCTCCCACATGAGTGACAGAGGCCCAAGCACTTGGCTCAGCTTCATCTGCTTTCCCAGGCCCATTAGCAGAGAACCGGATCAGAAGGAGACCTGGGATGCCAGTGCCACAGTAGGTGGCTAATTCACCGCACCACCATGCTGCTGAGCCATTCTCAAAGGCATGGATACCTCACAACCCGGGGTTTGACTTGGGGCCTGGTAGCTTCTGCCAGAGATTCCATCTTGCCACCTGCCATGTGGGCTGCTGGCTCATTAGAGTTAGGGATGAGTGGGTGAGTGAGGGGAGACAGCGAGGACGTGGTACCTGGTTGTGGTCAGAATCTGCCTCTTGTTCCCAGGACTTGCAACTATTTCTTGTCTCACTTGGTCCTTCCTGCTTCTGAGTTTTACTTGGCTTGGTCTTCGACTGCGGTGAGGAAAAACAGCAGCGACCATTTGCAGACACCATGTGCTAGGGCTGCTCTGAGGGGTGGATATATATGCATTACTGCATTTCATCCTCCTGCCCCTTGGGAGGCGGGTCCTGCATATTGTCAGCCCCATTTCACAGATGGGCAAACTGAGGCCTAGAGTGATTAAAGAGCCTCCGCACGCCACACAACCCCGTTAGGCAGCGTCCTTGAACTTGGACCAGACCAGTAGGTCAGGTCCTGCGTGTCTGCAGTCAGCTGACCTGACTGAGGCCACACTCTGACTCTACTCTTCTCTCTGCAGCCTGGGCCCTGTGGGCCCCACCAAGTGAGCAGCATGCGACACCCCCAGGCCTGCCCGCTGTCTTCTGGCCTGCTGCCCAGCCCTCCCAGGAGGCCCTGACGCCCTGGGGCACTTCTGCTCTGCGCAGGACCACGTGGGGGTTTGCCATGGTGACATAAAGGGGCGCAGAGGAAGGAAGGAGCAAGACCAGCCTGCAGACTGCGCCCCTGGCTGGGAGGAAGGGCCGGGGGCCCAAATCCTCCACTCCTGCTGCCCACCAAGGGCCTCGCTTCCCAAGTCTCTGTGAATTTGTTGGTCAGTGGACAACTCTCGTGCCTCCCCGTGTGTGGGGCCTTGGGGTGGCCAGGGCAGGCCGGGCCTCAGGCGGCCGAGGGCCCTGGGGGCCAGAATGCCTGCTCTGGCGTGCCTCCGGAGGCTGTGTCGGCACGTGTCCCCGCAGGCTGTCCTCTTCCTGCTGTTCGTCTTCTGCCTGTTCAGCGTCTTCGTCTCTGCCTACTACCTGTACGGCTGGAAGCGGGGCCTGGAGCCCTCAGCCGACGCCCCCGAGCCTGACTGTGGAGACCCGCCACCCGTGGCCCCCAGCCGCCTGCTGCCACTCAAGCCCGTGCAGGCGGCCACGCCTTCCCGCACAGACCCGTTGGTGCTGGTGTTTGTGGAAAGCCTCTACTCGCAGTTGGGGCAGGAGGTGGTGGCCATCCTGGAGTCCAGCCGCTTCAAGTACCGCACGGAGATCGCGCCAGGCAAGGGGGATATGCCCACGCTCACCGACAAGGGCCGCGGCCGCTTCGCCCTCATCATCTACGAGAACATCCTCAAGTACGTCAACCTGGACGCCTGGAACCGGGAGCTGCTGGACAAGTACTGTGTGGCCTATGGCGTGGGCATCATCGGCTTCTTCAAGGTACGAGGGCTCGGCAGCTCCCAGGTGGCTCAGAGTGCAACTGGCTTTCCTCATCCGCGAGTGGGTGTGGTGGTAGCACCTGTCTGCCCGGTGCTTGGAGCGCAGAGCGCCTGGCGAGGGCTTTATGTGGATTGGCTCGTGTGTCCTGGGATGCTCAGGGAGGGGTTTGCCTGAAGGAGGCCCAGGGGTGGGGGGTGAGGCAGAGGATGTGCTCTGCCTGGTGGTGGGAAACCTGTCAGGGTCGTCCTCCCAGGTGAGGCAAAGTGTGTCCCCACGGTGTCTCCAGGCGGGACTGGGTCACTTACTCGAGGCTGTGCAGCCTACAGTCTGGGCTCTGTCCCATGCTCTTTCCTCCTACGGTGGCATGTGGCGTTGGTGACCCTCCTCAGCTGGGAGAAAGAAATCCTAGGGAGAAGGGAAGAGGCCACCCTGGGCTTTACGGGGCTCCCTGAATGGCCTGGGACTGAGGCCTCGCTGAGAGCGTGTCCCGGGGAGTAGAAGGTTGGGCACAGCAGCCGGGCCATGCCGAGGCTGCAGTCACAGAGGCAGGCACAAGTACGACCCCCGGTGGCGCTCCAGGACATCGGTTCCTTCGTTCAGCAGAGATCACGGAGCACCGCACGGGCACCGGGCACACAGAGGTGATGGCAGCGGACAGACACTGGGCAGGAGTGGCTATCAGCAGTGAGCGGATACACACACAGTGCAGGGAGCAGGCGCAGTAGGGAGTAGTGGGTGGTTACCACTATTTTTGACAAAACAGGCAAGGAAGTCGTCTTTGATTAAGTGACCCGAGGAAGGGGAGGAGGGGCCCCATGCTCGCTCGCAAAGAGCCTTCCAGGCAGCAGGGACAGTAGGTGCGCAGGCCCCCAGCCAGGCTCCTGCTGGTGTGGGTGAAGAGCGGAGGACCAAGTCCTCTGTGTACTGGGCCCTGCGCTGGTGTGGGGAGGCTGGTCTGGTCGAGGGTTTCCCACGGCACGCTCTAGCCCGCACTTACCCGGCAGGAGGCTCTGCTGCCGCAGAGGCATTGTGAGCCCGGAGATTGAAGGCCCGTACGAGTCCTGCATGGAGCCCCTGGTGAGATCTGTTCTGCACCTGGCTGGATCACAAGCCCCTTTCTTTCCCTGAGCACCCCCTGGGGAACGCTGGCCTGGTTTCTGCCTTTACAGAGGCAGAGTCCGACTGTCCCCATCGTCGGCCTTTCTCTCTTCTTCCTTTGCACTCTGCACCCTTTCCTCCTGTGAACTTCATTAAGTTTGATCCAGAGCCCCAGGCCTGAAACACATCAGAGTGGCCGACGTTTATTGAGTGCCCACGCGGTGCGTGCCCTGTCTGCGTGCTGCACACGAATTAACTCACCTTGCGCTAATCAGCCATCCTCAAAGGTGGGTGGACAGCATCCTGGTTGAAGGAAGAAGGGAACTGAGGCAAATAAAGGTTAACCAGTGTATCCAGGCTCACGCTGCTAAGAAGCAGAGATCTGGGATTTGAACCAAGATGGATTTATTTGAAAGGCAGAATTACACACACACACATACACACACACACATATTCCATTCATTTGTTCATTCCACAAATGGCCACAATGGCTGGGGCTGGGGCTGGGGTTGGGGCTGGGGCTGGGCCAGGCTGAAGCCAGGAGCCAGGAGCTTCATCTGGATCTCCCATCTGGGTTCAGGGGCCCAAGGACTTGGGGCATCTTCTGCTGCCTTCCCAGGTGCATTAGCAGGGATTGGAAGTGGAGCAGCCAGGACTCTAACTAGTGCCTGTGTGGCATGCTGGCGTTGCTGGCAGTGGCTTCACCTGCTACACCTCAATGCCAGCCCCACAGGCCTTCGTCTTACCCACTATAGGATGAATCCAGGAGCCTCAAATGCTATTTATTTAGTAGGAGTTGATCACGGGCCACATCCAGGACACAGAGCTCTCAGGCACGGGGGACAGGCAGGGAGTTGGGGTCCTTGGGTGCAGTCTGTGCAGCAGAGCTTGGAACCTGCCTGGTTCCAATCCTTTGCTCTACGAAGGCAGACACGAGACGTAGGGTGAGATAGGGGTACATTCAGAATCTCCCAGCAGGGCCAGTGGCAGTCCTGGTCTTCATGCTCTTCCACCCTCTTTTATTTATTTATTTTTTTAAAGATTTTTTTTAGGGGCCGACGCTGTGGCACAGCAGGTTAAAGCTCTGGCCTGAAGTGCTGGCATCCCATATGGGTGCCGGTTCTAGTCCTGGCTGCTCCTCTTCCGATCCAGCTCTCTTCTGTGGCGTGGGATAGCAGTAGAAGATGGCTCAAGTCCTTGGACCCCTGCACCTGCGTGGGAGACCCAGAGGAAGCTCCTGGCTCCTGGCTTTGGATTGGTGCAGCTCCGGCCGTTGCGGTCATTTTGGGAGTGAACCAGTGGATGGAAGACCTCTCTCTCTGTCTCTACCTCTCTCTCTAACTCTGTCTTTCAAATAAATAAAAAATTTTTTTTTTAAAAAAGGCAGAGTTACAGAGAGGCAGAGAGAAGGAGGGAGGGAGGGAGGCAGAGGTCTTCCATCCACTGGTTCACTGCCTAATTGGCCCAACGGCTGGAACTGTGCTGATCCAAAGCCAGGAGCCAGGAGCTTCTGGGTCTTCCACATGGATAAAGGGGCCCAAAGACTTGGACCATCATCTTCCACTGTTTTCCCAGGCCATAGTAAAGAGCTAAATTGGAAGTGGAGCTGCCGGGACTCAAACCGGCACCCATATGGGATGCCCACATGGGATGCTGGCACTGCAGGTGGCGGGTTTACCCATGACGTCACAGCGCCAGCCCCTTGTACCCTCTTGTAGGAGGCCAGACCCCCTCCTTGGTTGTGAGCAGAGGCCTGTGATTTTTCTCCAAGTGTGCGCCCCCTGGTGGTAAAGGTGCATCTCGGCTCTTTCTGCAAGGCCAGCTTCAGCGCTGTGCATGGGGCTTGCCAAACTCCAGTGTTTGTGGACTCCAGGGATCTGGAAACTTCCATTTTCTGGTTCTCACTGACACTGCATTCCCAGGGAAGCGGGAGAGCAGGGGCTTCAAAGTCCAGAGCCTGCTGCAAGTCTTCCGGCCACTTGGAAGTGGATTGATCTTGGAGAGATGCTCAACCTATCTCTAGAGTTGGGCCGGTTGCAGCTGCCGCCTCCTTGGGCTGCCTGCACATCAAACAACACAGTGGGAAGCATGGAGCCCTGTGCCTGGTACCTGGAGCCTCTGAATAAAGGGCAGCTCGCAGCCTTTGACGTCTCTGGGCTCAGCAAGCACGGCAGTGGCAGCATTTTCTTTCTCGGAGCTCTGGTCTGTGTGTGCTCCTGGAAATTGGGTCATCCTCATCTGTAGCCCTGGTGCCTGTTACGGTCACGCCTCAGCCTTGCAACCCCACGTGCCCGGACGCTGGGCCAAAGGCTGCCTCCCCTCTTCCCTTAAGCACTTCCTGTGTGCCAGGCACTGAGCTCGTTGCTTTTCAGGCCTTGGCATGTTTAATATTTTCATTTGTTTAGCTAATCGAAAGGCAGACTGACAAGAGAGAGGGGGAGACACAGAGAAAAGAGAGATCTTCCATCTGTTGGTTCACTCCTCAAATGGCCACACAGCTGGGGCTAGGCCGGGCAGAAGCCAAAAGCCAGGAACTCCATCCGGTCTCTGATGTGGGTGGCAGGGATCCATGCATTTGGGACATATTTCGCTGCTTTCCCAGGTGCATTAACAGGGAGCTACGTTGGAAGTGGAGCAGTGGAGACTGGAACTGGTGCCCATATGGGATGCTGATGTCACAGGTGGCAGCTTAACCTGCTGCACCAGAACTCTGGCCCCCATGTTTATTCCTTATAACTGCCTTGTGAAGTAGGTGCTTCATCTTCAGGTGAGATCTTGAGGGGACAGAGCTGCTAAGTTGTAAGGCCATGATTCGACGGCCAATCTTCCTGCTCCCAACCCAGCCACAGGAGCCTGTGTAAGAGAATCCCATCGATGGGGGACCTGTGGCCCAGAAACATGGGGATCCCAAGTCCTCAGCCAGTTAGCTGTCACGTCTGTGCTGGGCCTCTCCCTCCCCTTTCCCAGGTCAGGGCTCTTCCTTTGTCTGCCTGAGGGACCTCGTTGGAAGACTAGATGTCTCCTGAGTGGGTCCTCAGGGCTGCAGAACAGCAGGGAGTTCCCCTCCCTGGGGGGACCCGCAGTGGGGCCAGCCTCCGTTCCTTTCCCCGGCTGATCCCTACCGCTGCCAGCTAGTGTAGGCCCTCAGTGACTTGGCGCTCTCCCTTCCTCAGTGGCAGGGCAGCTGGCGGAGCTGCCGGCCCCTGGCAGTCAGCTCAGGGTCGGGACTTTGAAATGGGATCCCTCAGTACCCGCCCTCCAGTGTGGCTTCCCAGCCTTAGCAGGTGACGAACAGGGCCTGAACCGTCCTTGGCCTGTGTGGGCCTAGGGTAGCCTGGGCTGCGGCAGGAAGCCTCTGCGGATTGAGCTCGGTACGAGGGCCCCCTAACCTGAGGCTGGCTTGGGGTATGCAGTTGGTAGGGACTCCTGGCATTTGCAGAAGTAAAGGCAGGCTCCTTATCACGGTTTACAAGGCCAGCGCCGTGCAGAGCCTTTGTGGGCATTAGAGAGAAGCGCTTCTGTATGGAGATCAGTGAGACATTCTGGCAGGTGCAGCTCCACCCTGAGGGCCCTTCACCCCCGCTACCTGAGCAGCTCTCCAGGGGGGCCCGTGCCCAACCAGCTCAGTCTCCAAACTCATGTGTGCATTGTGTCCACTCTTGCTGTCCCCCACCCCACTCTCTCCACCCAGATGCCAGAGGATTTTTTTAAAATGCAAATTGGAGCCTGCACCCCTGTCTGCAGAGCCCTTTGGTAGAGCTTGTGCCGGCGTCCTGATGCCACCTGAAGCCCATGGGGTGACTGTCAGGGCGAGGGGCGGGGCAAGGTCACCCTGCTGGCTTCATGCTACTCCCTGACCACGCTGAGCCCTCTCCCGCCTGAGGGCCTTTGCACCTGCTGTCCTTCGATCTCGGGGAGCCGCTGCAGACTCCTTGATTTTTAGGATTTATATAGTTGAAAGAGAGAGAGACCTATCTTCCATCTGCTTGTTCACTCCCCAGATGCTACAACAGACATGGCTGGGCCAGGCTTAACCTCCAGTGGGGGCACCCACACATGTGACAGTAATTGGATTTTCTAGAAGATTCATTTATTTATTTGAAAGGCAGAGTGATAGAGAAAGAGACAGCTTCATCTGCTGGTTCACTCCCCAAATCTGTGACAGCCGGGCCTGGGACAGTCCAAAGCCAGAAGCCAGGAACTCCATCCTGGTCTCCCACATGGGTGGCAGGAACCCAAGTACTTGGGCCATCATCGCTGCCTTCCCAAGTACATTACCAGGAGGCTGGATCAGAAGCAGTAGAGCCAGGTCTAGAACTGGTGCTCTACTGTGGGATGCCAGTGTTGCAAGTGGTGACTTCACCTGCTGCACCGCTGCCCCGGCCCCATTACTTATTCTTGCAGTGTCGGCATCACAGCTCCTCTCTCCAGGAGGCCTCCTGAGGCAGCTGACTGCCCTGCTATCCACCCTTCTCAGCATGGAACTCCTTTGCACAGCAGGTACCACATGGGGAAGTCTCCCATTTATTCCTGTGGTTTTGATAGGTTTCTCCCTTCCCCACTCAGCTTTAAGGCTCTTGGAGGCATGGGCCGCGTCTGTTTTTTCTGACTTTGTCACTGGCACTTAATTCCATGCCTGGGAAAATGAACAGTTGTGTAACAAGCAAATGAAGCCTATACTATACAGCAGTCATGTGCCAGGTACCAGGGAGCCATCCTTTCCTCTTTCTTTACTTTTCTTTTTTTTAAAGATTTATTAATTTATTTGACAGTTAGAGTTATACACAGAAGGAGAGGCAGAGAGAGAAAGGTCTTCCATCTGCTGGTTCACTGTCCAACTGGCCACAATGGCTGGAGCTGAACCAATCCAAAGCCAGGAGCCAGGAGCTTCCTCTGGGTCTCCCACGCGGGTGCAGGGGCCCAAGGACTTGGGCCATCCTCTGTGCTCTCCCAGCCCGTAGCAGAGAGCGGGATCGGAAGTGGAGCAGCTGTGACTCGAACCGGCGGCCATATTGGATGCCAGCATTGTAGGCCAGCATTGTAGGCCAGCTATACCACAGTGCTGGCCCCGTTCCTCTTTCATTCTTCCTGAAAATCAGCTAACTGGGGCAGGCGTTGTTGCACAGCAGGATTAGCTGCCCTTGGCCTGCCTGCTTCTCCCCACTGCTGGGGTGCTGATTGGAATCCTGGTTACTCTGCTTCCGATCCGGCTTCCTCCCCATGTGCCTGGGAGGCAGCAGATGGTGGCCCAAGTGCTTGGGTTCCTGCCACCCATGTGGGAGACCAGAATGGAGTTCCTGGCTCCTGGCCTTGGCCTGTCCGAGCCCTGGCTGTTGCAGAGATTTGGGGAGTGAACGGCAGATGAAGGTGTCTCTTTCTCTGCACTCTGCTTTCAAATAAATAAATAAATGAATTTTTAAAAATCCAGTTGCTGTCACACATGTGGGTGCCCCCACTGGAGGTTAAACCTGTGCTGGGCCCCAGGGATCCAAAGGTACATACAGCGTAGCCTCTACCCAGTGGGAGAGAGTCCCTGAGTAGATCACACAGCAGCCGAGGGGAGAGGTGGTGCAGCTTTGATGTGGTTCCAGGGAAGCTGGTGCAAAGACCGTGTGTGCATTGGGTTTTGAAGAATGAGCAGGAGTTTGCCAGTGCAGGAAGACAGAGTGGTATTGGCATAGATGTGAAGAGAAATTGTGCCAGCTGCAGAGGCAGGTGGCTGGGAGAGTGAAAGAGAAGTGAAGTGGCAGGGGTGTGCAGAAGGAGATGAGGCGCCATGAGCCTTGTCTGCAGACCCCCAGGTTGCTGGGCAGCAGTGGGGCCCTGGGAGGAGAGAGGCAGAGACCCCCCTCCCCATTCCCCAACAGCAGCAGCAGCAGTGACTGTGTAGGCATGGCAGCTGGAGTCCCATGAGGGGCTGGCCTGTGTGTGTTTGGGGGTTGGAAATGCTTTGGGGTGCGGTGTCTGCTTCTGTACCCCAGAAGATACCTCCTTTTTGATCTGTGTGGCTGCCACGGCAGATTTCTCCCCAGGAGAGCGGGTTGCATGGCTGAAGCCAGTTTGGAAGCCCAGAACAGCTGAGCCTGGTGGCCAGGCGTGTAGCCTCTGTGGGATGGAGGGTGGCGCCCCCCTCCCAGCCCGGGCCGACCATGCCCCAGCCTCCGAGCTAAGCAGTGTGACAGCAGGCATTAATACCCATTGTGGGTAACCACATCTCACAGAGGAGACTGAGGCTCAGGGAGGTGGTGTCACCCAGTGCCAGGCAGCATGGTGCCAGCGCCCATGCTCTCTGCTGCTCTACTTTGCCTGATTTAGTGTCCCTGGGCCTCAGGCTCCTTATCTGTAAGATGGGCACAGCTCCATCGAGAGGTCACTGGGAGGATCAGCAGCAGTCTTGCATGCAAAGTGCACAGAACGCCGTGCCTGGCTTCCATGAGTGGAGTGCGGGGCTGGGTATGGGGCGAGGCCTTGGCAAGTGCCGTTCCTGTGGGCAGCCTGCAGCTGAGCTTCCTGGCCCCAAGGGACCGGTCCTGACGCCTGCTTCCCCTCCCGCCCCCCGACCCGACTGCAGGCCAATGAGAACAGCCTGCTGAGCGCGCAGCTCAAGGGCTTCCCGCTGTTCCTGCACTCGAACCTGGGCCTGAAGGACTGCAGCATCAACCCCAAGTCCCCGCTGCTGTATGTGACGCGGCCCAGCGAGGTGGAGAAGGGCGTGCTGCCCGGCGAGGACTGGACCGTGTTCCAGTCCAACCACTCCACCTACGAGCCGGTGTTGCTGGCCAAGACGCGGTCATCTGAGTCCATCCCGCACCTGGGCGCCGACGCTGGCCTGCATGCTGCACTACACGCCACCGTGGTCCAGGACCTGGGCCTGCACGACGGCATCCAGCGCGTGCTGTTCGGCAACAACCTCAACTTCTGGCTGCACAAGCTGGTGTTCGTGGACGCCGTGGCCTTCCTTACGGGCAAGCGCCTCTCGCTGCCTTTGGACCGCTACATCCTGGTGGACATCGACGACATCTTCGTGGGCAAGGAGGGCACGCGCATGAAGGTGGAGGACGTGAAGGTGAGGCAGGGCCTCCCCACCTCAGGGCACCGCTGGCAGCCCACCTCTCCTGTGTGGTGCTTAAAGCACCGCTGGGTTCTATGCTTTTTTCTTCTTCTTTCTTTAAGATTTATTTATTTGAAAGGCAGAGTTACAGAGAGGCAGAGGCAGAGAGAGGTCTTCCATCCACTGGTTCATTCCCCAGATGGCCACACCGGCCGGAGCTGCGCCGATCCAAAGCCAGGAGCTTTTTCCAGGTATCCCATATGGGTGCAGGGGCCCAAGCACTTGGGCCATCTTCTACTGCTTTCCCAGACCATAGCAGGGAGCTGGATCAGAAGTGAAGCAGCTGGGACTTGAACCAGCGCCCATATGGGATGCCGGCACCACGGGCCGTGGCTTTACCAGCTGCACCATAGTGCCAGCCCCTTGTTTTTGTTTTTTCAGTAATCTTTTTTTGGGTAAGATTTCTTTATTTCTTTGTAAGGCAGAGTTACAGAGAGGTGGGGGAGAGAGAGAAAGAGAGAGAGAGAGAGAGAGAGAGAGATGTTCTATCTGCTGGTTCTGTCCCCAAATGGCCACAACAGCAAGACCTAGGCCAAGCTGAAGCCCGGAGCCTGGAATACCATCCAGGTCTACCATGTGGGTAGCAGGGGCCGAAGTACTTGGGTCATCACCCACTGCCTCCCAGGGTAAGCATGAGCAGGAAGCTGGCATTGGGAGTGGGGCTGGAACTCTAGTATGGGATATGGGCATCCCAACTGCTTGGCCCAAGGCTGGCCTCCATGGCTGAGGCTTCCTCTACCAGAGGTATACATAGATGGCATAATGCTTGTGTTGTATTCACAAAATGTTTACCCAAAAAAATTTTGTGTGAAGGTACTTTGCAAACCACAGCGTTTCACACATGTTATACTACCGGCAAGCAGAGCCTGCTGATTATCAGCATTAACAATGTGCACTGTATAGTTTTCCTCTGTTCACTGTTTGACTTCAAGGTACTGGCAAAGCAGCCAGCATCCTAGTGTAAGTGGGAAATCAGTGCCGGGTGCCATAAATAGCAGGCAACCATAACAATAAATCCAGTGAAAACAAAACAGGGGATTAAATTCTAGAGAGCGCCTCTGGCCGTAGCCTGTCCTGTGGTCCTCTCTTAGGGGAGATTAGCACGTGTTGGAAACATCTTAGCACCAGACCCAGCCTTCTCTTTGATGTTAGCAGGAGGCTTTAGACAGAGTCGTGTGGCTGTGAGAGGAATGCTTTTTGCTTGAGTAATACGGGCCTGGTGGTGCCCTGTTCTGTGTTCTCCGTCCATCTGATGGCGCCGGCGCCTGGAAAGCAGGTCCTGGAGAGGTTAGTGGCCCTGCCTGGCTTAGGAGGGGACTGCCTGCCCCGTCATTCCCCGGGAGGAGACGAGCAGCAGGCGTGGTGCTGGCCAGTGGAGCCCTGATCTGAGTCCAGGCCCACTGTGACCCCTGTCGACCAGGTGACTTGCGCAAGTCCCTTCCCTTAGGAAATCATGAGGTCACTGGGAATTTGTCCACCTTGTCCTGGGGAGCCCCCAGGGCTCTGCCCTGCCCAACAGGGCATTGTGGCTTTGATCTGCTTTTCCACCTGTGTTTCCTCCCGAAATGTCTTGTCCTCAAGGCTGTCCTGTGGGGAGGAAATGTTCAGGTGCTTCCTGAGTCGCAGGAGAGGGCTCTCTCCCCCTTCTGACAGACGCCGGCGGTTTGCCCTCATTATCTCCTGCGGTAGCCTGGCTGGCGTGATCGCATGCGGAAACCAGGCCGCCGGGCTCCCGAGTGTCTGCGTGAACCCTGGATCGGTCTGCCAGGTCCCCAGCGAGGAATGCAAGCAGTGTGCAGGTCCCCGTGCAGGGTGTGAGCCAAGGCGCCCTCTTCAGGGCACTCAGCTCGCTGCAGACTGCAGAGGGATTCATGGTGAGAGGCTCGTGGGCCTCAGACATCCCGTGAATCAGAAAGGGCAGTGCGTCCTCCTCTCCAATCCCATGCCCAGGCCATAGCTGAGCCTCTCTTCCCGAAACACCTCATTAGTTTGTGCAGCACAGCGCAGCCCTTTACTCAGGCTCGGTGCGCGCCCGGCTCCCTGCTCAGCCCCTCCGTGGTGTGCCGCAGCAGCCCACAGAGGTAGCTATTGTCATACATCCCATTTGATAGAAGAGGCCGTGGGGCTCAGAGAATTGAAGCCCCTCAGCTGGCCGGAGCATGCATGTCTAGCAGGCAGCAGCTGGCGTCTGTGAGAGGCTGCTGGGCCCACTCTGCCCCCGGCGGGACCAGGACTCTGAGTTTGCAGAGTGTTGCAGGTTTCCCAGCAGCAGCGTGAGTGTGCAGGCCCCAGCCCAGTGTGCACTGCACGTGTGAGTCACAAGGGGCAGCATCCCTCTGTTGACCGGCCAGGCGCTGGGTGTGCCAAGCACGGAAGCCTCGTGGTGCTGGGCACACGGTACCCCCTTGGGAAGTTGTGGCCCTTTCACATCGCCCGCAGCGGGTGATGGCTCCCATTTTCCATCATTTATTAATTGTCGGGCGGTTTTTTTTTTTTTTTAAATCTTTTCTTCATTTGAAAGACAGAGACAGGGTGGTGGGAGAAGAGAGAGACAGACACACAGAGAGAAATCACCCATCTGCTGATTTGCTCCCAGATGTCCACAGCAGCTGGAGCTGGGCCAGGCTGAAACCAGGAGCCCAGAATTCCATCCTGGTCTCCCATGTGGTTGGCAGGGATCCAATCACTTGCACCATCATCTGTCGCCTCCCAGGGTGTGCATTAGCGGGAAGCTGAAATGGGGAGTGGAGCTGGGAATTGACCTCACGCACTTCAATGCGGCATACAGGCGGCTCAAGCAGCATTTTAACAGCTGCATAAAATGCTTGCCCCATCAGGCAGTTTTAGCACCTGTCTTCATTCTCCCAGGAGGGAGATGTTATCACCTCGGTCGTTAGCACCTCCATTTTACAGTCCAGGAAACTCAGGCCCAGGAAAGCTACGAAGCTTTTCAGGGACACGGGAGCAGGCTGGAGGCAGGCAGCAGGCTGGAGGCAGGCGTTTCCATGCCAGGGGCCTGGTGGAGAGGACAGGGCAGGGCCAGCTTCAGAGCCTGCAGCCAGCGAACCCCAGAGTCCCTGCCCAGAAGGAACCCTCGTGAGACTGAGCTCTGCTATTGTCTGCTTGAAGTTCTCTATAAATTTTTTAATGATTTATTTATTTGAAAGTCAGAGTTGCAGAGAGAGGAAAGAGACAGATGTCTTCCAATTGCTGGTTCACTCCCCAAATGACTGCAACAGCCAGGGCCAGGTCAGGCTGAATCCAGGAGCCTGGAACTCTATCTAGGTCTCCCATGTGGCTACAGGGGCCAGGAACACTTGGACCATTTTCTGTTTTTGTTTTTGTTTTTGTGTTTTGTTTTTTGTTTTTTTTTTTTTTGTTTTTTGTTTTTTGTTTTTTTTTCCCCCTAGCACATTAGCAGGGAGCTGGATCAGAAGAGGAGCAGCCTGGACTTTAGCTAGCACCCATAAGGGATGCCGGTGTCACAGGAGGCGGCTTTACCCGCTATGCCACAGCGCCTGCCCCTCTTCATAGCTTTTGAACAACTGTGCCTGGTTTTCATTTCTCACCTGGCCCTGTAGACTTTGTAGCTAGCTGGTGTTGGGGCGGCAAGATACCTCTCAGCCATCCGTGGGAGAAGCCCTTGGCATCCCCTCACCCCTTCCTCTTCCCTCTGCCTGTCCTAGGCCCTGTTTGATACACAGAATGAACTGCGCACACACATCCCAAACTTCACCTTCAACCTGGGCTACTCAGGGAAATTCTTCCACACAGGTAAGTGGGCCTCCCCTGCACCCCACCTCGCAGCCACTTCAGGGGCTCCCAACACCCAGGCCCTCAAAGCGCTGTACCTGGAGGTCAGCAGGTGGGCGCGGGCCCCCACTGGGGCCGTAGCCCCAGGCAGAGGCCGCATGGGACAGCAGCAGCTTCTGCTCGTGCCTCTCCCTGTGTGGCCTTTCAGCTTCTGCTGTCCCCTCACCTCCCACCTCTTAAAATTATTTGCATTATTTCTCCTGATGAAAGAAACTGATTGGATTTTAAGAACATTGCAGAAAAACACAGCACGGAAAGTGAATGCCCTGTGATTGTACCTGCCCCAGGGGAACCTCTGTCAAACCCAGGCACTGCAGTCCAAGACCAGGCACTTCACCCAGTGTCTTAGCCACTTGGCCAGCCACCTGCCCCGCTTCTTCCCTTCTCACGTGTGTCCCTTCAGGGACTGGGCAAGAAGGAAGAGCCCCGAGCTGGTCCTCTGCAGTGCCCACGCCCTCTGGTCGCCTCTGCTCAGGCCACAGTGAGGGCAGCCTCTCTAGAATTCCATGCAAAGCCCTATTGGTTCAGGGCAAGGTGGCAAAGAGTGCAGCATAGCCCCAAAGCCGGATAGGAGAGATGCCAGGTCAGAGGTGGTTATGTCCGTGCGTGAGGCAGGGGGCAGGTGAAAGACACGTGACCTGATCCGGATCACTGGAACAGGGTCAAAGCAGGTGTGTCAGAGGTGGAGGAGACCCTGTAGCTCATTGACTGAATGCGGATTCTTGCCGTGGGGACCGAGTGCTTGGAGAGGGGAAGGTTTGGCCAGAGCCATTCATTGAGTCAAGTGTGAGCATTCAGGTCTGGCCTGGGGCCCTGCCTGCTCCTGTGCTGTAGCTCAGATCACTCTCCCAGGCAGCTGCCGGGCGGGGGCCGCGACTTTGTGTCCCCATCCCTGGCTCTGGCCCAGGCAGCTGGGCCTGGCTGAGCTGCCTGTTGGGGCCGCAGGTACCGATGCCGAGGACGCGGGGGACGACCTGCTGTTGTCGTACGTGAAGGAGTTCTGGTGGTTCCCCCACATGTGGAGCCACATGCAGCCCCACCTTTTCCACAACCAGTCTGTGCTGGCCGAGCAGATGGCCCTGAACAAGAAGTTCGCTGTCGTGAGTAAGATTCCCTACAGGGCAGCACTGGGTGGGCCCGGGGCTGGCTTGGGCATCCCCGCTGCTGGCCTCTCCCAGCAGTATTTCAGGGCAGGTGCTGGGCAAGCTGGCTTTGCAGCCATGTCTCCTTGGAGCCTCAAGAGAGTAGCTCCGCTTCACAGGAGAGAAATCGAGGCTCAGGGAGTCCCCCAGCCAGGACCCGAGCCCAGGCGGAGAGCTGGAAGAGGTGCCCGGCTTCAGCGAGGGACTGGGCCCTGGGTGCTAGGCGGGCTGGCCTGGTCCCCCCGGCCAGTTAGAGGCAAGAGAGAGAGGGTCGCTCACTACTGGTGCTCGAGGGTGTGTGCGTTGGACCCAGAGAGCAGACCTGGGTTCTCGTCCCAACCCTGCCAGTCATCCCCTGGAGGGTTCTAGGCACCTCCCATTTTTTCCACCCAGCCTCAGCTTCCCCATGTGCACTGTGAGGGCTTGGACCACCTGCACTATGTCCCGGGCTCTGATCTCTCTCTTACTCTCCATGAGTGGGTGTAAGGCCCAAGGGGGAAGACCCTCACGCTCACCCTGCTCTGGTCATCCCCGCAGGAGCACGGCATTCCCACAGACATGGGGTATGCAGTGGCGCCCCACCACTCGGGCGTGTACCCCGTGCACGTGCAGCTCTACGAGGCCTGGAAGCAGGTGTGGAGCATCCGCGTGACCAGCACGGAGGAGTACCCCCACCTGAAACCGGCCCGCTACCGCCGCGGCTTCATCCACAACGGCATCATGGCAAGTGGGGTGTGGACGGTGGGGAGCACGTGCTGGGTCCTGGGGAGACGGCTGTGGGCTGGCGGAGGGCTTCAGCCCAGTCTCCGCTGCCTCTGGGGCCTCCTAGGCTGTGTTCTGGGAAGGCGGGCGGCCGTGCCACTGCGGCACCTTTCACGCATCCTTCCTAGTTGTTTGTGACAGGATCAGAGAATGCGCAGTTGTGTTTTATTTGTTTATTTTTTAAAGATTTATTTATTTACTTTGAAAGTCAGAGTTACACAGAGAGAGAACGAGAGGCAGAGAGAGAGAGAGAGAGAGGTCTTCCGTCTGCGGATTTACTCCCAAATTGGCTGCAATGGCCAGAGCTGTGCCGATCCGAAGCCAGGAACCAGGAGATTCTTCCAGGTCTCCCGTGCAGGTACAAGGGCCCAAGCACTTGAGCCATCTTCCACTGCTTTCCCAGGCCAGAGAGGAGAGCTGGATCGGAAGTAGAGCTGCCAGATCTCGAATTGGCGTCCATATGGGATGCCAGCACCGCGGGTGGCGGCTTTACCTGCTATGCCACAGCGCTGATCCCTGTGTTTTATTTTTAAAGATTTATTTGAAAGGCAGAGTTGAGGAAAGAGAGAGATCTTCCATCCTCTGGTTCACTTTCCAAATGTCCATAACAGCCAGGGCTGGGCCAGGCTGAAGCCAGGAGCTCAGAATTCCTACTAGGTCTCCCATGTGGGTGCTAGGGCCCAGGCACTTTGGCCAACTTCCACTGCTTTCGCAGGCATGTTAGCAGGGAGCTGGATCAGAAGTGAAGCAGCTAGGGATTCAACCTGGGGCCCACAAGGAATGCTGGTGTCGCAGGCGGTAGCTTAACCCACAGTGTCTCATCACCAGGCCTGGGCAGTGTGCATTCATTAAGGGGGCTCTGGGGGCCAGCGCTGTGGTACAGCAGGTTAACACCCTGGCCTGAAGCGCCAGCATCCCCTACGGGCACTGGTTCGAGAACTGGCTGCTCTACTTCCGATCCAGCTCTCTGCTATGGCCTGGGAAAGCAGTACAAGATGGCCCAAGTCCCTGGGCCCCTGCACCTGCGTGGGAGACCTGTAAGAAGCTCCAGGCTCCTGGCTTTGGATCGGCACAGCTCTGGCCATTGTGGCCAATTGGGGAGTGAACCAGCGGATGGAAGACCCCTTTATCTCTCTTTCTCTCTCTCTCTCTCTCTCTCTCTGGCTCTCCTCTCTTTGTGTAACTCTTTCAAAAAAATAAATCTTTAAAAAAAACAAACAAACAGGAGCTCTGATAAGGACGTGGGAGGGTCCCCATCACCTTCATTTGCTGTTCATTTGGAGTGGTTTCTTGAGCTTCTAGCATGTGTCTGCCCTCCTCGAGGCACTGGGGACAGAAGTACATGAAACCAAGGAAAGTTCCTAGCAAGTCACCTGCCATACTGGTGGCGGGAGACGGACAGTAGGGTCAGGAATGCATAAAGGAGCTGGTGGTCAGGCAGTGACAAACACCAGAGGAAAACCCAGCAGGGAGGGAAGGGAGGTGAGGAGTGTTGGAGGGAGAAGAGAAGCCATTCAGAGTGAAGTGGTCCTGGAGGGCCTTCACGGGGATGGACCATGCGGCTCTGTGAGGGTGAACATTGAAGGTAAGAAAGCAGTGAGTTCAAAGACCCTGCGGCAGGCTGTGCTGGGTGTGTGAGGACCAGCTGGCAGCCCGGTGTGACTGCAGAGAGATTGAGTCACGGGGCGGTGGGCCGGATCACGCGGGGCCGTCTCGGGTGGATTTCCGTCTTTGGCCTGAATGGAACGTGATCTGACTCACATTTAAGGATTTACATCACTCTGGCTGTTTTGAGGAGCAGAGACCCTCGGGGACAAACGCAGGGGTGCTGAGCCCGGTTTGGAGGCTCCTGCGTTCCTCCGGACGGGAGCTGGAGGTGGCTTGGAGCAGGTGCACAGTCGGGCTGTGGTCGTGCACAGGATGTGCTGACGTTGGATGTGGGTGTGGCGAGAGAGCAGTTGAGGGTGGCCCCAGGGTGTTTGGCCGGAGGCACTGGAAGGATGAGCTGTGGAGGTGAGGCAGCTGTGGGAAGGCACGGGTTGTGCTCTTGTCCGTCCAGCTGTCCGTCTGTCCACCCACCCGCCCACCTCCACAGCACCAGGCATGCATTTTAGCTCGGGAGGAGGTGGTGTCAGTGAGCATGTCCCCTGCTCTCTGAGAGACATGGCTTCAGAGGGGAAGCAGTAAACAGCTAAGCCAGTGCCTGGCCACGGTCGTGCCCAGCGCTGCTCTTGGGCTGTGGCCGGGAGGGCTGGTGTTAGGACAGCCCGCGCCTCCGGGAGCACTTGTGCGCGGCTCATCCTGGGCCTGCTCAGTCCATGAGAACAGTGGTGAAGCGTGCAGAACGGCAAGGGCCCGGGCTCGCCGTGGACGCCACAGTCTTTGGGGACGTGGAGTCCAGGCGGCCGCCTTTCCACGGAGGCAGCCTGGCCCATCTCCCCCACCGCCCCTACCTGGAGCCCCCAGACAGCCTCTCTCCGCCCCCCAGGTCCTCCCGCGGCAGACCTGTGGCCTCTTCACACACACCATCTTCTACAACGAGTACCCGGGCGGCTCCAGCGAGCTGGACAAGATCATCAACGGCGGCGAGCTCTTCCTCACCGTGCTCCTCAATCCCGTGAGTGCTCCCTGGCCATGGCTGGCGGGCGGGGGCTGCTGGATGGCCCCGCTGCAGCTGGGAGAGGGGTGTCCCAGGGTGGGGAAGGGTGGAGGGCAGGCAGGAGGGCCTGGGATGTGCAACTGGGCTAAGGAACCTGAGCTTACGTGAGCATGCAATTAAAATTTTTTTAATATATATTTTATTTGAGCGAGAAACACAAAGAGAGGTGGGGAGGGAGAGATCTCTCATTTGCTGGTTCACTCCCCAGACGCTCTCCCACATGGGTGGCAGGGACCCAAGGACTTGAGCTGGATTGGAAGCAGAGCTGAGACCCAAACCCACACCCCCCTAGGGGAGGGTGGGTGTAGGCCTCCCATGCAGCTGCTGCCCCAAACGCTCGCCCAGTCATGTACTTCACAAAAGCACCAGCATCTCTGCATGTTCTCTTGTATGGCTTTTGTTTGTGTGCATGTAAATGTGATTATAAATATAAGTGTCTTTACTCTTCACTGGGGCTCTCCTGGCTGCCCTTATCTGTAACATGGAAGCATTACCCGTAACGTGAGTCGTACTAAATCCTTGCCAAGTGGTGGCTACTGTATCATTCCCCGACCTTATGGGCTAATTGAATACTCCCTGTCCATGTAGCAGTGGCCTCCAGATTCCACAGCAGAACCCTCTTAGCTGTAACATTTGGAGGTCGGTCAGACCTGAGCTTGTACCTGGTTGTGCCCAGCCCAAGGTCACACAGTGAGTTTGCTGACTGCCTTGCCCTGGTCCTCAGCCATCCATGCTAGCTGAGGCCAGGAGGGTCAGAGATGGAGGTGGGAGGGTGGTTCCAATGCTGACCTCATCCCTGCCTCCACCTGCCCCACCCCTGGAGCAGATCAGCATCTTCATGACGCACCTGTCCAACTATGGGAATGACCGCCTGGGCCTGTACACCTTCAAGCACCTGGTGCGCTTCCTGCACTCCTGGACCAACCTCCGGCTGCAGACGCTGCCCCCCGTGCAGCTGGCCCGGAAGTACTTCCAGATCTTCTCCGAGGAGAAGGACCCGCTCTGGCAGGTCGGGAGCAGGGTGGGCCGGGCTCCTCGCTGTGGGAATGGAGTGCATGCGGCTCCCAGGCACGGGCTGCAGGCTCTGCCTCCACGTTCTCATACGCCTTCTAGAATGCAGACTCAGGTGTCCACGCGCTCAGCAGCGGGGCATGCTCACTACTGTGTGCACGTGTGTGTGTGCACTTGTACACAGCCCGGGAGATAGAGTTAACAGAGTGAGCACAGTGTGGAGGAGAGGTGGCAAGCACTGCTTTGCTTCAGTCAGAGTCTGGGTAGAGTCCTGTGCGCCTTTTAACTGCAGCAGGGACACAGCCTTGAAAAAGGGATGGCTAGGAGGGGTTGGGGACAGTTCTTGGGAGAATGTGCCCCAGAACTGTTAACAGCTGGAAGCAGAAGTTGGAATTGGTGGCAGTCCCATAGTTCAGCCTAGACCACAGGCCAGACCCAGCCTGTGGTCTGTTTTTGTCAATAAAGTTTTATTGGCACACAGCCATGCTCACTGTTATGTGTGTCTAGCGTTGCTTCTGTGCTGCAACAGCAGAGTGGAGGGTTGCAGTAGAAATCAGGACGTACTCACAGTCTAAAATACTTACCTAAGATCTCCAAACTTTGTAAGAAGCTGTTCCTGACCCCTGGTTCCGACACAGCTCATCCAGTTAAATTCAGCAAGTGCGTGTCAGTTCTGTCGAGTGCCAAGCTTACAGTTGGGCATTTTGCCAGGCTCTGTGGGGGTCGCAGAACCAGCCGGAAGCTGCCCTTGCCTGTCAGCAGCTCTGGGGCTGAGGTGGGGATGTGACAAGGACACGTGTAGGTGTTACACCTCTAGCAGGGCTGTGAGGGCCGCTGGTTGGGTCTGTACCCCACCACCCTCACATGCTTCCCCTTTTGTTCTAGGACCCCTGCGAGGACAAACGCCACAAGGACATCTGGTCCAAGGAGAAGACATGTGACCGCTTCCCCAAGCTACTCATCATCGGCCCCCAGAAAACAGGCAGGTCTCCCCCTGACCAGGCCCCTGCTGCCTGCTGCTGCAGCCCCGGGACTTTGGGGACCACCTTGCTCCCACTGCCCAGGGATCTCGGGCCCTCTCCCAGGGAGCAGGAGTGAGGTTGGGGGAACACAAATTGCCTGTGTGTATGGGGGCGGGGAGGCGTGAAGGATGGGCCGTGGACTTTCCCTGTTTGTTCTGATTGCAGCCTCACAAAGCTCTCCCAGTAGCCTCTCAGGAGTCTCTGGATCTAAGCAGGGAAGGAAGCCCAGATCAGTTTCTCTGCAAGTTTGAGCCAGGCAGAATTGTTTTTGTGCAAAGAGGATGGTGATCAATTAGTCATGTCTGCCAGTGGTGCTGATCATTGGCCACCCACATGACCCTGTAAGGTACAGACGGGTGTTCCTGTTTCACAGAGAAGAAACTCAGGGGTCAGAGAACACACTCAGGAAAAGCACTTCCAGATCATGGGCTCTGGAGTCCGAGACCTCTGCAGGTTATGCTCTTTTTTTTTTTTTTTTTTAGATTTATTTTATTTATTTGAAAGAAAGAGAGACAGGGAGAGAGGTCCTCCATCTGCTGGTTCATTCCCCAAAGGGCTTGGCTCCTATCTGAAACTGGGAGCCAGGAGCTTCTTCCGGGGCTCACACACGGGTGCAGGGGCCCAAGGACTTGGGCCATCCTCTGCTGCATTCCCAGGTGCATTTGCAGGGAGCTGGATAGGAAATGGAGCAGCCAGGACTCGAACCGGTGCCCATATGGGATGCCGACGCTGCATGCTGGGGCTTTAACCCACTGTGCCACAGCACTGGCCCCGAGCTTATATTCCTAGTCACCATGCTGCAGCCCCTTCTCTTGGGGCCTTCTCACCGCAGCATGTAACCACAGATGCACACCACAGGGCACGAGTGAGCCAGTTCTCCAGGAGAGGAAAGGGAAGGGGCATAGCAGGAGGTGACCCGGAGACCGTACCCAGGAGCTGGATTCCTTGGCCCTTCAAGAATTTTACAGCCTCAGAACTGGAGAACCTGAGCTCCTCCCAGGGCCAGAGAGGAAAGTCCAGAGCTGGTGACGGCAGCAGAGAGCACCCTGATCTGGGCTTCTGGGTAGACAGCAGGCAATTGGATGTGCCACTGGAGTACTGTGGTGAGAAGGATTCTGAGACCACATCCTTGTTGAGCATGAAGAATGCTTTGATGGATTAGCGATGTCTGCAAGGGGCACAGCAGTTGGAATGTCCACACACATGCCATAGATTGGCCATCCTGAATTTAGTATAATTTCTTCATTGTACAGATGAGCAAACTAAGGCCCAAAGAAGGGAAGGGATTTGCCCAGGACCTCCCAGTGGGTAAGGGAGAACCAGGGTCAGAACTCAGACTCCATCTGTGGGGGGCTGGGCCCTGGCTCTCAGCTGCCCCGCTGCCCGCAGGCACCACGGCCCTCTACCTGTTCCTGGGCATGCACCCCGACCTCAGCAGCAACTACCCGAGCTCGGAGACCTTTGAGGAGATCCAGTTTTTTAACGGCCACAACTATCATAAAGGCATCGACTGGTGAGTGGGCGCATCTGTCCCGCAGCACGCCAAGGCCATCGCGGGGCCTCTGGGGAGCTCTGCCGTGGCCACAGCAGGAAGCAGCTGGCGCCTGCTCACACGCAGCTGAAGTTCCTGTAAACAGGGACACGGCATGGTGACCCTGGAGTCGTGTGAGAGCCTCACAGACAGGACGCCAATGAGGCTCTGTGCGTCATCCACCCATGGCCAGCCCCTCCCTTGCTTGCACAGAAGCAGGCTGAGTCCTGGTTGGGGGGGAGGGGGCACGTCCAAGTTCCCAAGGTCTGCTGGGGACAGGGCAGGGGCCAAGCCCTGGATGTTCTGCCGGAGGAGCTGGCTGACGTGGAGCAGAAGGTGTTCTGGGCCCCCTCAGAGGCAACTCCGTGGCCTGCAGGATGTCACCTGCTTCCCACCTGGACCTGTATGCAGAGGCTGTGTTGAGGGAGAGTGGAATGGCTTTTTCTCTCCCAGTTTTCAATTTGCATCTTCTCCCCCACTTGCCTTTTTAAATCTTGTATGTGTATTACTGTTGCTATGTTACTGTCAACAGAGTACCTGGCTGGTATCTTATCTGTCACTTCTGTGTTCGTCTGTCTGTCTGGCTTTGTGTACCTGTCCATGTATCTATGTCTGCTATCTCTTATCTAAAACCCACTGTGGCCACGTGTATTCTTGGAAGTCAGCATTGATCAGATTGTAGAAAGGTAATGTGTGCAAAGCTGTCTGCTTACGCAATATCTTCGGCAGGGCCTGGGCAGCACCCTATTAGCAAGTACATTAACATGTCTGTAACCAAGTAGGCGAGTGTTTCCAGGAAGGAAGGTTAGTACCTCAGGATTTGCACAAAGCATCTGTTTTCAGAGCTTTCTCAGTTTAGATTTTACAAAGCATTGTGGGCAGAGAAAGTTCAGGAAGGTGAGAGAGAACACGACTGCTTGGCCGCATTGCCCGGATTCTGGTTTTGTAGGTGGGTGTAAGGTAGAATGCAAGAATCCAACAGGTCCCAGGTGTTGCTTGCCTGCCTGCCTTCAGGATTGATAGATTTGTCTGAAAGGCAGAGTGACAGAGAGAGGAAGAGACAGGGATCTTCCATCCATTGGTTCACTCCCTAGATGGCCAGCACTGTGCCAGGCTGGAGCCAGGAAGCCAGGAGATAGGAGCATCAGCCAGGAGCTAGATCAGAAATGGAGCAGCCAGGACTCCAACTGGTGCCCCTGTGGAATCCCGGTGTCGCACGCACCCCAGGTGTTTCTGGTTGGGGAGTCTTCAGGACCACCCTAGAGAAACCCTTGAACCCTCGTCTTTTAATTAGGATGGGCTTTACCTCCCACCCACCCCAAGTCATGCTCTGATTTTGCACCAGTCGGTGCTGTTAGGAGGCCTGGAGCGATCTTTTTTTTTTTTTTTTTAAGGTTTTTATTTATTTACTTGAAAGTCAAAGTTACACAGAGAGAGAAGTAGAAGCAGAGAGAGAAAGAGAGAGGTTTTCCATCCACTGGTTTACTTCCCAGATGGCCGCAACTGCCGGAGCTGGGCCAATCTGAAGCCAGGAGCTTCTTCGGGGTCTCCCACGCGGGTGCAGGGGCCCAAGGACTTGGGCCATCTTCTACTGCCTTCCCAGGCCACAGCAGAGAGCTGGATTGGAAGTGGAGCAGCCGGGACTTGAACCGGCCCCCATATGGGATGTTGGCACTGCAGGTGGCAGTTTACCTACTACCTCACAGCGCCGGCCCCTGGCGTGATCATTTATTCTTCCCAGGGGCCCTGAACCCAGAGGTGGTAGGTGAGGCATGAGTTGTTTTTGTTTTTGTTTTTGTTTTTTTTGAGACATCAATCTTGAGAGCTGTGCTCACCCATGGCAGCCTGGGGAGAGGGTGAGTGGTAGGAGGTGAGTGCTGCTCCCTTGCCCCTGGTCCAAAGTCACAGCCACCAAAGGTCAGGAAGGAAACTGCCCTCTGCCAGCGGTCTGTGGTCCTGAGGTGGTTCTGCTTTGAGCCCAAGCTCGCCCCCTAGAGGCGAAGAGAGGTAGCGCCTTGTCAGTTGAGCAGTGGGAGCATCCTATGGGCAGATCCTGGCATTTAGGAGGGAATTCCATTCTCCATCCCCATGCCCTGCAACCTGCAGGGTCTCCAGGTCCTCCTGGCCCCACGGCTCCCCTGGGAAGGAAACAGAGCAGAGAGGCTGCCGAGCGGCCATGCCAACAGCAGTCCTTAGGCCCCACCTGTTCTCAGAGGAAGTCCCAGCCAGCGACCCTCACCCCCTCGTGCTAGCCCCCCCCCCCCCGCCCCATATTCCTTCCTCATGGTCTTGCCTGGGTATCCTGCAGGTACATGGAGTTCTTCCCCATCCCTTCCAACACCACCTCCGACTTCTACTTTGAGAAGAGCGCCAACTACTTCGATTCCGAAGTGGCGCCCCGGCGGGCGGCCGCCCTATTGCCCAAGGCCAAGATCCTGACCATCCTCATCAACCCGGCAGACCGGGCCTATTCCTGGTACCAGGTGAGCGGGGTGGGGCGGAAGTCCCTGAGTGGAAGGTGCAGGCCATGTCTGCCACAGTTGCTTGCTAAGCACCTTCCGTGTACAGCCCTGAGCGAGGCACCTGCTGTGAGCTGGCAGGTGGAGCCAGCTGGCCTGGTGGAGGAGACAGTCAGAAATTGATGCCCACTCGTCTGGTGTCTTGTGGGGTCCTCCCTCTGATTCTGACCCCAACAAGAAATGGAGGTGGACTCAGGCTGGAGGAAGCCTGGATCTGATGGACAGTGACTGTAGCTTCCTCACTGGACACTGGGGTAGGGGGAGCTGGAACTCAGAGAAGGGCAAGGCCCAGGCCCTGTCATCCACTCAGGCCAGGCAGCCCCTGCCCTGTGACACATCACAGAGGTGCAAAGAGGGCATGCATCCCAGTCCCTGCGGGAAGTGTTTAAGAAAAGAACTGTCTCAGCTCCCCAGACCTGAGTGCCAGTCCCCTGGGCCTGTAGGAAAGCTTGTGAGCGAGGGGAGTCCCTTCCCTGTCACCAGTCTTCCTGGGCTGTGCCACTGCTGAGTACATGCAGTGATTCCCAGGTGGGGCCCTGGCGGGCAGAGGACGAGACTGCTGTCCTGATCAACTCAGCACCAGCTGTCTTCTGGGGGTGGGAAGACCTGGGTGTAGCCTGTGCTTTCCTGGGAAGTGTTCACTCTCCTGGCCAGGACAGCCTCTTGAGTCACCTTTGGGAGCATCTTGCCACCCTGTTCCTTTGGGGACTGTGGTGTCTAGTCCCCCTCTGGGGTCCCCGGCAGGAAGCAAGTGCAGGCCGTCTTTGCTGCTGGCCCCACAGCTCTCTGTCCGATCATCCCATCTCTCCCTGAGCCAAGTGGGGCGCCCTCTCTTCCTCTTGTTCTCTAGAAATTTTGTTTATGCCCTGAGCTCTGCCCCCCCCCTTTTTTTTAAGATTTATTTATCTATTTGAAAGACAGAGTTACAGAGAGAGGTAGAGACAGAGAGAGAGGTCTTCCATCCGCTGGTTCACTCCCCAACTGGCCACATCAGCCGGAGCTGCGCCAAATCCAAAGCCAGGAGCCAGGAGCTTCTTCCAAGTCTCCCACGTGGGTGCAGGGGCCCAAGGACTTGGTCCATCTTCCACTGCTTTCCCATGCATGTTATCAGGGAGCTAGATTGAAGTGGAGCAGCTGGGACTCGACCCGGTGCCCATATGGGATGCCAGCACTGCAGGCCAGGGTTTTAACCCACTGCACCACAGCGCTGGCCCTGAGATCTGCCTTTCTTATGGGCGTTGTCTTTTGGGGAATAAAACCCCAGAAACACTCGTAGCCCTTTTTTCTTTTCTGCTGTGCCAGGTCCCGGTTCTCTGCTCTGGCTGCCTCGTGGCAGGGGGTGATAAATGCAGGGGTAGAGGGAACCTCCATGGGTTGAGCCAGCCTGTGTTCAACATGGTGGCAGGGCTCCACACGTGCCACCTCGCTGGAGCCTCAGAGCAGCTGGCTAGGGGGCAGAGGGGTGTGTGTGGGGGGGTCCATCCCCCTTTCTCACCGATGGTTTCATTAAGTTTTGTTATGTGGCATTTTGGTGGTTTTTTTTTCTTATGTTTATTTATTTGAAAGGCAGAGCAGCAGAGAGGGACACACACACACACATCTTCCATCTTGTAGTTCTCTCCCCAAATAGCCACAGTAGCCAGGGCTGGGCCAGGCTGAAGCCAGGAACCAGAAACTCAGTCCAGGTTTCCCACATCGGTGGCAGGAACCCAAGTACTTGAGCCACTATCTGCCACCTGCTAGCGTGTACATTAGCAGGAAACTGGATGAGAAGCCGAGTAGCCAGGATCCCAACCAGGAACTCCAGTATGGAGTGGCTTAAGCCAGCGTGCCCCAGCACCTGCCCCGAGGCAGTGGTTTGAACGGCTGTCTTCTCAATCCAAGGCCCCGTTCTGTGCTGCCCTGGGCTGTGGGTTGGCTGGTGTGACAGGGTGTCCCCTGTGGGCTGGTCCTGGAGCACTGAACTTTGGGAATTCGGCGGACGCTGATGGCCCACAGCGCTGTCATAGGAGACTCAGGCTGGCCCTCTCCCCCTGACGGTGCTGCTTTCCCAATCCTTCAGAGTCTTGCAAAGGAGAAACGTGTGGTTTGGCGCAAGTGACTCCTGCAGCTGTTCCGACATTGCTAAGCTCCGTTTTCAGCGCAAGGCTCTAGGCTGGAGTGCACGTTGGTTCGTGGCTGGCACTGAGGAACACTGCCTCGGGTTTATCATGTCTATAAATAGCTGCCTTCAAGGGATAGCACTGCATCTAGTTTCCTTCTGAAACAAGTCTGAGTGAGGAAGGAAGGCGAGCCCGTGACGCTGACCCGGGTATGTGCACGCGCTCTGTGGTGGCGGCAGGACTCACAGACATGAGGTGTGAGGGGCCGCATCTACACACCCTGGCCTGGTGCAGCTCCCAGCTTGCAAAGAGAGGAAAACCAGGGCTCCAGGGCAGGGACTTCGCTGGGACCAAACAGCAGTGAGGCAGAGCCAGGGACTCGAACATGGGGCTCCCGGCTCGAGCCTCAGGTCTTCTGGCCACTCACTGGGCTGCTGTCCCCTGACGGCCTCCATGTGACATGCCACCCCGGGTCTTGCCCACAGCACCAGCGAGCCCACGACGATGCCGTGGCCCTGAAGTACACCTTCCACGAGGTGATCACTGCCGGCCCCGACGCGTCCTCGAAGCTCCGCACCCTACAGAACCGCTGTCTGGTCCCCGGCTGGTACGCCGTACACATCGAGCGCTGGCTCAGCGCCTTTCATGCCAACCAGGTAGCCGCCTGGCCCGAGTCTGAGGGAGCAGACGCTGTATGGGCATCCCTGTGCCCAGTCCCAGGGCTGGGAATGCCCTCCCTGGAGGGAAAGCCAGGCTTCTGGGCCTGTGGGGAGGTTGTAGTGCTTGACACAGGAGGCCCCCCAACCATGCCTCACCCCATCAGAGCAGGCTCTGCAGCCCTCAGGGACCCAGAGAGCCTGCAGTTGTTAGGGGGGGCAGGGGTGTGGCAGAGGGGCGAGCGTGGCTTGGGGGGGTGGCAGAGGCTAGGTTACAGGAGGCCTTTGAGGAACACCCTGGAAGGACTTGAGCGAGAGAGTGACGTGGGGGCCTGGAGCTTGGCAAGAACCAGGAGGGAGGAGATGGGGGGCTCCGTGGGTGGGCTCCAGTTCTAGGAAAGGATGACATCGGTTAGGGGAAGCCGGCTCCAGAGGTCTGAGGCTGAGGGACACCTGCCGTTCAAGGGTGGAGGAGGAAGCAGATCCGAGAGAGTGCTGGGTCCACGCTGGTCACCAAGCCTGTCCCTGCCACCGCAGCTGCTGCCCTGCTTGTCCCCACAGTGAAGACACAGCCAGGTCACCCTCTCCCTCTCCTCCCTTCCAGATCCTAGTCTTGGATGGCAAACTTCTGCGAACAGAACCTGCCAAGGTGATGGACACGGTGCAGAAGTTCCTCGGGGTGACCAACACCATTGACTACCACAAAACCTTGGCGTGAGTGTCGCCCCTGCCTCTCCACGGTGCAGGCTCCCTGGCCAGGCCCTGGGCCCAGGAGCCAGAGTCCGAGTTTGGACGACTACGGGAGAGCGGGGGTCAAGTCCGCAACTCTTCCCGGTGGGGGTTTGGCAGAAGGAATATCAGTGTGTGTTACGTCACGCTAGTCAAGGTTTCAGCTCAAGCATTAGACCAGCACTAAGTTCCTAAAACGGTTTCTTGGAATTAGATTTTGACTTAAAATATTAATTCAGGAAAAGGAACCTCAAATCCTGTTATTGACGACTGCTCATCCCCACTCACTCAGAACTGGTGCAGGTGCCCTGGGAGCCTTCCCCCAGGAGTAAATGGCCAGCCTGTGCGGCAGGGGCTCGGGGATAAGTGCACCCCCCTGCTGGGTGAGAGGCACGTTAGTCCCCTTCCTTGGCTCTGTTCTTGGAAGACCTCGTGATCTTGGAAGTGGAAGGTACAGGAGGAGCCACGGCAAGGGCAGTGGGCGCTGTGGCCTTGGATTGGCCTGGGTCAGGATCTCCGATCCGTCTGTCAGCCACGTGACCTTGGACAAGTCCCTCCGCCTTTCCCCCCTCACTGGGACTCACGGCACTCACTGCTGCCCCCTGGGGGTCACTGAGTTGCATGGAAGCGTGCACTGAGCGCTCAGCAACGGTAGCTGCTGTTTCATTGTCGCTGTCATCATCATCCTCATCATCGCCCAGCCTGCCACCCGATCAGAAAGCCGTGTCCCTCCCCCGCCACGTGTGGACCCCGTGTTCCTGTCTCGTGCTCAGACGCGGGTTCCTGACCAGGGGCTGCCGTGTGCCTCCCCTCCCACGGCAGCCTCAGAGCTCATCTCTGACGCTGTGCTGTTACCCGGGGAAGATGGCCTTGCTTTGTCATTTTTGAAATTTACTCCAAAAAGCCAAACTCTAGTGACAGGCACATTTCAGTGCGCTGTGGATCGTTGGTTTATTCGTTCCTATTTTTTAAGATCGCATTTATTTGCTTTTTTAAAAGGCAGCGTGATTGGAGCCGGTGCTGTGGCACAGTGAGTTAAAGCCCTGGCCTGAACGCCAGCATCCCATATGGGCGCTGGTTCTGGTCCCAGCTGCTCCTCTTCCGATCCAGCTCTCTGCTATGGCCTGGGAAAGCAGTAGAAGATGGCCCAAGTCCTTGGGCCCCTGTGCCTGCATGGGAGACCCAGAAGCAGCTCCTGATTCCTGGCTTTGGATCAGTTGAGCTCTGGCCATTGCGGCCATCTGGGGAGTGAACCAGCAGATGGAAGACCTCTCTCTCTGTCTCTACCTCTCTCTATAACTCTGTCTTTCAAATAAGTAGAATGAATCTTAAAAGGCAGAGTGACAAAGAGGGAGACACAGAGAGAGAAAGAGATTGTCCATCTACTGGTTCATTCCCCAAATGGTCACAATGGCTGGGACTGGGCCAGGCAGAAGCCAGGAGCCTGGAACCTCACCCCAGTCTCCCATGTGGGTGGCAGGGGCTCAGACACTTGGGTCATCTTCCTCTGCTTTCCCAGGGGCCTTTAGAAGGGAGCTGGATTGGTAGTGGAGCAGCTGAGACTCTGATATGGGGTCTTGGAGTTGCTGGTGGTGGCCTAACGTGGTGTGCTACAACACTGGCCCCAGACAGCATGTTCCTTTTTCTTTTTCTTTATTTCTTTCTTCTTTTTTCCTTTTTAGGATTTATATAGTTTTTTGGAAGACAGAGTTACACAGAGGCAGAGACAGAGACAGAGAAAGAGAGGTCTTTCATCCGCTGGTTCACTCCCCAGATGGCCTTCACGGCCAAAGCTGGGCTAATCCGAAGCCAGGAGCCTGGAGCTTCTTCCGAGACTCCCATGTGGGTGCCTAAGAACTTGGGCTATCTTCTTCTGCTTTCCTAAGCCATAGCAGAGAGCTGGATCAGAAGTGGAACATCTGGGACTTGGGCTGGCGTCAAAATGCGATTCCGGCACTACAGGTGGTGGCTTTACCTGCTATGCCACAACACTGACCCCTAGTACATTTCTTGCTAGGGATGTAACTTATTAAAAATAAAAGAACCTCCACTCCAATCCGCTCCCTCCCCCTGCCCCCATTGTCACTGGAAGCTGGGAAGGATGATGGCAGTTTCATTAGTTAAAAAGAAAAAAAGTTGTCACAGTGTTAGAGAATGCTCAGAAAGTTCTGGCATTACAAAGGACGGGAAAGTGTGCAGTGGGGATCACTGAGCGGCCCGAGGCAGCCCAGTCTACAGCAGGAGGACACCTTGGGGCGCGTGGGCTGTCCTTGGCTGGGGAGGTTAGGGTAGCCCAGGGCAGAGCTGGGTCGACAGCGGACAAGCGTCAGCCCCGTGGGCTCTGGCTCCAGAGTGTGTGATGGGAGTTGGTTCACTGCTCTCCTGGGCTCTGCGGTTCTGGAATCTGTGGATTCCGCTGTACAGTGGGAACAGAGTCGGCTGCACCAGCTCCCACCCACAGACTTGCCCACCTCCACAGGTTTGATCCAAAGAAAGGATTTTGGTGCCAGCTGCTTGAAGGAGGAAAAACCAAGTGTCTGGGCAAAAGCAAGGGGCGGAAATACCCGGAGATGGACTTGGATGTAAGTGACGGGCACGTTGCCCTTGGCAGCTGGATGGGAGGGCCGGGTCCCCGTGTGTGCGTGTGGAGGGCGAGTATGGGGTGAGCCTGCTTTCTCCTTTACCCTCCGGTAAAGTGGGCTTGGCACGTGGTGGGTGGTGGTGTCAGTGGAGAAGATGTGGGTGCAAGCCAGTATTGGCTTCCAGTGAGGGCTGAGCGCCGTGGGGTTTTGAGGGTGAGTGGATCTTCCAGTGTAGAATGAGCAGAGTGCACGCCAGAGTGCTTCTTGCAGAGAGAGGTGTAGCCGGGTGCCGGGAACTGAGCACAAGGGCGTGTCTCATGGGCTGGGAGGGGCCGGCTCTGGAGCACTGGGAGGGTAGCGCCTTCTTGCGGGAGAAACAGGAGGTGCACAAGCACGCTCGATCAGTCTGGCTTGGTGTCCCTTTTCCTGCGGACCTCTGGTTGTGGTGAGTTCTCTCCCCTCTCTCTCACAAGGCTGCTGACCTTGTGGGCCATGCTTTGACATTCCTACTTCATGGGACTTTGCCATAGGGAAGTTCTATGTAGAAGAGGGCTGTGAGTGCTGGGCGGGGCCCGGGGTGGTGCCTGCAGAAGAGGGTCCCTCCTTGGGTCGGCACACCTCTGAGCTCTCCTCGCTCTTGCAGTCCCGAGCCTTCCTGAGGGACTATTACCGGGACCACAACATCGAGCTCTCCAAGCTGCTGTACAAGATGGGCCAGACACTGCCCACCTGGCTGCGGGAGGACCTGCAAAACACCAGGTAGCCGCGGCCGCCACATTCAGACCACACCTTCGTGCCCACGGCAGGGACGCCCGCCGCATGCTGAGCCACGTGGACCTGCAGAGTGGGGAGCCGGGCCCGGGCCGGCCAAGCACGCACGAGCAATACTCCACAAGGCCCACGGAGGGCCAGGAGGAGAGCCCAGGCAGGTGTGCGAGCGCCTCGGGCCACCACTGCTGGGCCCGTGGCCCATCGGACCTCCCTGGCCACCAGAGGTCCATTCCGTTCACGGCCTCTCTAGGGAGGCCACTTCCTGGTAGGAGGGAGTCAGCGAGACCCTCCCTCCTGTCCCTCACTGTGTTCTGCCGACCGCCCCCTCTCCCCAGCAGGCCGGCCCTCAGTATAGCTGCCATGTCTTCTCTGTCGTGCAGACGGCACGGGAGACGAGCCCCGCTGGGGCGTTTGCCAAGCCAGGGAGCGAGACTGGACGTTCCCCTGAGTGTGTCGAGCCGGGCCCTCCAGGGAGCTCAGCTGGCTGCCCAGCGGCAGCACGAGGCCTGCTGCCGAGGACTCAGCCCCGTGTCCGGGTCAACACTTTCAGATCTCACCTTCCCTCTCCGGTTCCTGCGGTGGCCCCCGGGGGCCCTAGGGCACTGCCGGGCCACTGGGGGGGCCCAGAGCCCCAGGCCTCAAACCTCCCTCTCCCCTTACCCTGGGATCTGACATGCGTGGTGTTTCCTGTGGTAAAAGACTGGGGCAGTCCCAGTGTCCATGCGTTGTCCCCACACCCGCCCGGTCTCGGCCAAGGGCCCCCGGAGACCCTCCCCCTTAACTTCCTCAATACTAAGAAGCTAAAGTATTTTAATATTTTGTTTTTTTTTTTTTTTTTCTTGGTGCCAGAGTTTATACCCTGGGTGCTGGGGTCGCACTGTGTTTTATATATATACATATATATATATATAATGTGTATATATATATATATTATATTTTTTTGGTTGGGTTTGTTTTTAATTCAGTCATACAAGGTGGCCGTAAGCCCCGGTCTCACAGGCCTCTCCTGCGGTGCTGGAGGCTGAGGCGGAACGGAGTGTGTGTCTTTCTGTGTCTGAGGTCTCAAGGAGACAGTGTGCAGGTGGCCCCGGGGAAGCCTCTGTTCCTTATCCCAGGTGCCGCGGCCGTCCTGGGGCTGCCCCCGCACTGTGCCAAGGGGAGCAGCTGTCTCCAGGAAACCTGGGGGAATTGTGGCCAAAGGAAGCAGCCTGGGGCTGGGGTGGGAGAGCCGGGGCTGGGGTGGGACTGCCTGGCCCAGGGCTGGCCGGTGCCCCACCCCCTCACATGGTGCTAGGTCGGGAGCTGCCCTGGGAGCCGGGGTGCTCATTGGCACCCATAACAGGCCTCCAGGTCCCCCACGGACTGCGGGATCTCTGGGCTGCTTCCTGCCCCCCTTCTAACAATGTGAAGTGACTGAGGCTGGGAGCCCTCTCCCCAGCCCCTCCAACTGCCAATTCAACTTTGAACGGATTCCCCCACCCATGCCTTCCCCGAGAGCCCTGTCTCGTTCAGATCCAGCATCTTGGGCCCCAAGGGCTCCGTGGACAAGTGTGAGGCGGTTCGGAGAAGGGGAGCAGCCTGCTGTCTTGGGCCACGGAGCTGGTCGGCAGCACGGCCTAGCACTGAACTCGGGACTCCCAGGTCTCAGTGCAGTGCTCCTGCCGTGCCACGCCGCCCCTGGCCCAGCCGTGGGGTCCTGCTGTGTGTCAGGTTCCTGCCCCTCCCTCAGTCACTGCCGTGGTCGTTCTAGGATATGGGGACAAACCACTCCTTCCCAGCCAGGGTGCCTTTGAACCTTCCTGTTCCCAGGCCTGCTTTTGCACCCCGCCTCGGGAAGCCCTTCCCTGGCCTGCAGGGCCTGGCTCTGTCTTCCTTCTGAACCCATTCCCTCCTGTCAAGCTCTCCCCCGCGGCATGGAGGAGGTGGTGGGATGTGGCGTGTGGTTTCCTGCTGCACAGAGCACGGTTGCCATCATGCTGCTCACCCGAAGCCGTGGGCCCAGCAGGGCCGAGGCGCGCGCTGTTGGAGGCCGGCCGGGGTGCTGTGTCTGCTCAGAGGCTGCGAGGTCCTGCCCCGCCTTGCACGGTGCCAACCCAGGGCCTCTGCCCAGTGGCAGGGGCTGGAGGATCTCACTGCTCTCTCGTTGTGGGCCCAGGGCCTCCTGGTAGGGCAGACAGCTCCGCTCCTCTCTGCCTCTGGTCTCAGGCAGGAGCAGGTGGTGTGAGACCACGGGAGAGCGCCAAGCAGGCTGTCTGGGCTCTGGTCTTTGTGAGTGTGGCTGCTGGTGCGACCCTTCCTTCCACACATCTTTCCTGCAGGCCTGCCGGGCCCAGACACGGTGGGTGTGGGAGGAGAGGAGGGGCTCTCAGCTGGCAGGAGCCCACACTGCCCTCCCTACGAGAGGAGAAACCTGGAGAGGTGTGGGGGCAGTGGGGCCCGTGTCCAGCGTCCACTTACTCACTGTTAAGCGTTCGGCCAAATAATAAAAGAGAAAAAGAGAAAGTGTGCAGCCGACTCCACCATCCGTTCTGCGCTCCCCTCCCTGAGCCTCAGGTGTGTGCAGGTGGGAGGTGCCACCTGCAGCTGCCCGTCATTCCAGATTCTAGAACCTTCCGGGCTGTGAGCCTCTTGTTGCATGGAGAATGAGTCTGAAGGTTCAAACGCGCCTCATGGAGTGTGCGCGTGAGCAGCCAGTACTGCTGGGGCGAGGCGCAGAGCACAGTGGCCAGGCCGACCCTCCGCTGGGCAGCGCCGAGGCGGGCATTGTCAGAGGCACTGCTGGGGGCTGGGATGTCTTCGCAGATGTCTGCCTCCAGCACCCTGCACCCAGCTCCGAGTTGAAGTCAGCAGCGCTGGCCGCACTGGGCTCTTGCTCGCTGACCCAGGTCACTGGAGGTCGCACACTGTGATCCTTCACCCCTAAATGCTCAGACTGCAGCCCCAAGTCAGGGCTGCTGGCACGGCCGAGACCGCGGTGACTTTCCCCCGGCCATGGCTCTGTTGCCCGGACTCCCTGCTGTAACCTAGACCTAGTCTTGGAGTCGGGACCCCACCAAGGCGCACGCGTTACGTTCAGAGGCCGTGCTTCTGAACTCCAGCTAAATGCCAGAAAGTCTTGCCTCTGCCCGTTTGATTTGGGAACGACCCTGCTGTTGAGGCCACCAGGCCTGCTGTCATTAGAAGTGCTGTGTTCTGTATCCGAGGGTTTCCTCTTGGGGTCCTGGAGCCGCCGCCTCTGTTCCCTTTATTTTTAGTGTTCCACACGAGTCTTTGCCGTTTGCATCTCCGCCATCACCTGTACCACGTGCCAAAGCAGCAGAGGGGCCGGATGGAGCTCGGGAGGTGGAGGGGGCTCCCCGGAGGAGGCAGCAGGGCACTGGCCTGGGCGGAAGAGGCTGAGGGCACGGGCCGCAGGCACCACGCACAGCATCTCTGTATGGTCCTGGGGTTTTCACTTGTTGGGGGCGCCTGGTCTGTGAGCCTGAGGCAGAGCCGGGTGCCTGGCAGGCAGGGAAGGGCCTCACCAGGGTACCGCCTGCCCCGAGCCCAACGTGAGGGCCAACACACCGGGCTGCAGGCAGCAGCGGGGAGATGCCTTCCTCCTAGCACCTCGGTTTCCTCCTCCATGGAACGAGTAGGCGGGGGCTGCAGCAGGAGCTTTGACACGTCAGAGCGGAGAGCAGTCGTGTGCTCACTGAAGTCCAGATCGGGCTTCCAGACCCCACCGGCACTCACCGCCCCCAGTTCCCAGGGCAGTGCTGGGCTCCGGCTTTGCCGCTTCTGCACGGGGTGCCCCTGGGACGGTGTCTGCTCCCCTGAGGGATCACAGGAGCTTCGTGTGGGGAGATGCCAAGGCCCTGGGAAGACCCGGGCCGTGGTTTACCCTAGGACACTCACCTCCTGCCCCTTCTTCTCTCCGGCCCTGGGGAGCACGGGGAGCAGAGGGCTTTTTACGACTGTGCTAGTTTTGTTATCAGCAAGAGGGCTCCTTTTGTACTTCATGCATGAAATTCATGTCGTTTCCTGGCAAGGGTGGGGGGCACCTTAGGGGTCCGAGCAGAGGTTTCCTTCCCTTGTGGGGGTGGGGTGGGGGCAGAGATGGGCACTACCCAGCTCGCCCGATGAAGGCTCTTGAAGCAGCCGTTTTGGGTTGTGTTAAAAGTGGGAACCTTCCCCCATTAATGTACAATCGCGAACTAACTGCTAATAAAGTGGGGTTCTGTTTGTACACGCTGGTCCCGTTTGAGCTGTTTTGCAAGTCCTGCAGGGGAGAGTGGAGAGAGATGTTTGCATGAGTAACCAGAGTATGCCTGACGCGCACACGTGCACACACCCATGTGCACAGAGATGTGCAGGTGTGCACACAGACACAAGCACAGACAGCCACATGTGCACACACGCAGAGACAGACGCACCTGCACACATGCAGATACACATGCACACCCAGTCATACATGCATAGACACATGCACACAGAGACACACGCAGACCCTGGGTGACTTCCTCAAATTGGATCTCTTCCACTGAGTTCTACGGTGGAGCCTTGCAGCTACAGCAGAGGCCTGGCCCAGGTGTCTCATGACGGAGCCGCAGCTCAGCTGGAAGCGCAGTGAGTGGGCACTGCACTGTGGGGTCTTGCAGGCTAGCGCCGTTTCTCCCTGCTTGTGCGTGGTCACTGGGGACAAGTCGCGTGTATTTGGGGCCCTCGTTTTCGCTCCCCTATTAGGTGTGTGCAGGGAGCTGCACTCAGTGGCTTCACCTGGAGAACCTGTCTCACATTCAGGTCCTCAGGTGAACCCCCAGTGTCAACTCCAGCAGCTGTGGGGAGGGACCCGGACGTCTGCGTGTAACAAGCTCTCCAGCGCAGTGAGGACCCCGCCCGTATCCTGGATCCTACAAGTCGTGATGCTTGTGGAGAGCCCCAGTGTCCAAGAGAACTGGGGAAGGTAGACTTGGCTTTCCGGAGGCCGGAGCCTGGTGAAGCGGAGGCCTGGCCAGCTCTTTGCAATGCAGATGTTCCCACCTGCTACCTAGAACCCCCTTGGGGAGCTTCAAAATGCACGTTCCCAGGTCCCTCCCATCCCTTCAATCAGATCTTGGCAGCGGGGGGCACAGGGATCAGCAGTGTGTGTGAACAAGCTCACTGGTGCTCAGGGAGGCTCGGGAACACCCGAGCCCCGGGAGCAAGGTCACAGGGCCAGTGTGAGCGCGTGGAACGCCAGCCCCAGAGGGTCAGCACTGCTGAGGCCTCTGGGGTTCATCAGCTGGGAGCAGAGTAGGGTCCTGTGGCCATCACTACCGGGACCGTGGTGGAGGCTACCATGAGTGCGGAAGCAGAGGGCACAGGACAGAGGGACACACACTTGTGCCAGCCAGGGAGTCAGGCTGCATCGGAGCCTCTGAGTTTTTTTTTTTTTTTGACAGGCAGAGTGGACAGTGAGAGAGAGAGAGAGAAAGGTCTTCCTTTGCCGTTGGTTCACCCTCCAATGGCCACCGCGGCCGGCGCGCTGCGGCCGGCGCACCGCACTGATCCGATGGCAGGAGCCAGGTGCTTTTCCTGGTCTCCCATGGGGTGCAGGGCCCAAGCACCTGGGCCATCCTCCACTGTACTCCCTGGCCACAGCAGAGAGCTGGCCTGGAAGAGGGGCAACCGGGACTAGAACCCGGTGTGCCGGCGCCACAAGGCGGAGGATTAGCCTAGTGAGCCGCGGCGCCGGCTTGGAGCCTCTGAGTTTTAAGACAGCACTGATTCTTTGTTTTTGTTTTTAAAATTTTAGTTATTTATTTGGGAGATAAGAGTTACAGTGAGAGGGAGAGACAGAGAGAAAGATCCTCCATCCACTGGCTCACTCCCCAGATGGCCACAATGGCCAGAGCTGAGCCGATCAGAAGCCAGAAGACAGGAGCGTCCTCCAGGTCTCCCACACGAGTGAAAGGGCCCAAGTGTCTGGGCCATCTTCTGCTGCTTTCCCAGGCCATAGCAGAGAGCTGGATGGAAAACGAGCAGCAAGGACTCAAACTGGCACCCATAGGACGCCGGCGCCGCAGGTGGAGGATCAACCTGTGCCACCGCGCCGGCCCCCAGCGGTGGTTCTTATTGAAGCAGTCACTTGAGAAGCAGGTACAGGTAGGGTTGCTGTGGTTGGGGTGGGTGTGAGGGCTTGGACTCTGACCAGCCCAGGGCCTCCCCGCCTCCCCGCCCATCTTGGCACCCTAAGATTCCTTGAGACTCTAAAAAACACAGCCTGGCTGCCCCAGAGACCTACAAGTCCTGGCGCTCTGGTAGCGGGTGAGTCACAGCCCCCAGCCCCTCCCCACCCCACAACGAGGAATCCCTCAGGGCGCCTGTGCCCTGCGAGGGGTCAGCAACATCCTGGAGCACTCCCTGCAGAGGGGACCCACATCCTGGAATATGCTGATGTGGTTAGTCAGTCTTCCAAGTTCTGCCAGGGAAGTTTCTACAGGACTGAGCTGTGCAGTGTGACCGTTGTGGGAAGAAATCCCTACTCAGGATGTAGTTTTCGCTGGGGATGTAAGTCCCTGTATCACGCCGAACTGTACTCCAGCAGGAGGGGAGGAGATGGAGAGGGGAGTTTTTAAAGGGGGCTTGGTCCTCCGAGAAACGGGAGAGGCAGAAAGGGGCACCGCAGGCAGCCAGACTGGCTGCAATGATGCCATGCAGGCCAGCACTGCTGTCCTGAGGAGGCCCAGGGGCTGGCGAACGCATCCTGAGGCTCACGTGACCATGGGCGTGCGTCAGCGCCACCCATGCCCCCGGAGCTTGGCTTCCTCGCGCTCGCAGATGGGGGCAGTCACCGTTGACAAGCTCAGGGTCGGAACACATCGATGTCTCACGTGCCCACTGAGGGGCCGTGCTGGGCGACAGCTGCCCGACACCTGCTACGGTCCCGGTGGAGCACAGCTCTAGCGGGACCTGGAGGAAGCCACAGACAAGGGACATCTTGCAGAACGGCTGAGCTGAGCTCTCGCAGTGGCAAGGTAGTGAGAGAGACAGAGAGGCTGAGATATGGTTCAGGACCAAAGGAAACTAAAGAGAACTGGTAACCAGGCGCCATGCGTGACCCTGGCCTGGGAACCAACTGGTGATAAGGATACCAAATGTTCTCCCAACTGGCAAAATGGGCACGGGCCAATGTGAATTATATAATAGTCTACTATAATAGTCTACCAATGCCAGATTTTCTGATTTAAATGTTCTGTAGTGTGTTTTTTTTTAAAGATTTATTTATTTATTTGAAAGAGTTACACAGAGAGAGAGAGAGGTCTTCTGTCCGCTGGTTCACTCCTCAATTGGCTGCAACAACTGGAACTGCGCCGACCCGAAGCCAGGAGCCAGGAGCTTCCTCTGGGTCTCCCACGCGAGTGCAGGGGCCCAAGTCCCATCTTCTACTGCTTTCATAGGCCATAGCAGAGAGCTAGATTGGAAGTAGAGCAGCTGGGTTTCGAACTGGCACCCACATGGGATGCCGGCATTTCAGGCCAGGGTGTTAACCCACTGCGCCACAGCGCTGGCCCCTATCAGTGTTCTTAAAACATGTACACTGCAGTAATGAAAAAAATGTAAGAAATAGAATTGAATTTTGATTAATGTTCTGCAGTTTGGTGCTTATCAGGTGCAGTACAGAAAATTTCCACCAGAGGGCACTATCATATCATCCCAGCCACCTGTGAGCTACTGGGTGTGAACTTCTCTACCAGTGACTGGGCTAGTGGCAATGGTAGGGGTGGCACCATTATAAGCAACTGTATTGGAAACTTTCTGTGTCAGGCAGGCCATCTGCTTGTCAAGTGATAGTGCTTTTTATGATTTATTTATTTATTTGAAAGGCAGCATTATGGAGAACAGAGGCACAGAGAGTCTTCAATCCACTGGTTCACTCCCCAGATGGCTGCAATGGTTTGGAGCTGTGCTGATCTGAAGCCAGGAGCCAGGTGCTTCTTCTGAGTCTCCCATGCAGGTGCAGGGGCCCAAGGACTTGGGCCGTCCTCTTCTGCTTTCCCAGGTACATTAGCAGGGAGCTGGATCAGAAATGGAGCAGCCAGGACTCAAACCGCTGCCCACATGGGATGCCGACACTGCAGGCTGTGGCTTTACCCTCTATGTCACAGCACCGGCCCCCAAGTGCTAGCTCTTGAAATGCTCACAGCGGCGGCCCTCAGAGGTGAGGATTACGGCCATTCCCGTTGTAGAGAAGACAAGTGAGGCTCAGAGATAGTCTTCGCCAGGATCTCAGAGCTGGAGGTCCCCTACCCCTGGGATTCCACCATTTTCTCAGCAGCCCTGGCCCCCTAGGCCTGAGCTGGGAAGTACCCTGGCCCTGGGAGCTAGGAAGGGCTGCCCAGGTGGCAGAGTGGGGACAACTCGCTGAGCCTTGCCTGGTTCTCCACAGCCTGGGCCTGGGCTGACTGGGGAGCACGACAGGCTCTTAAAAGTGTGTGTTTCCCGAAGTCTGAAACCAAGCAAGTGCAGCAAGGCACCTGGGCAGACAGGCGTCTGCACTCCCTGGTCCCGGCTCCCCACTCGCCTCTTTGGAAGCTCCCATGCGTCGTGGCACAGGCTGCTTTACCCCGACATCCATGCACCTGCTGGTTTGTCTCCTCATGCTATTCTGAGCTCTCTCCATTATGAGAGGCCCTGGGCACCAGGGGGAAGGTCATTCCCACTCTGCTGGGGAAGCAAACGGAGGAGCTACTCTGCCGCGGGGGCTTATGGGGGGTGTGGGGGCAGGGCTCTGCTCTTATACCTGTCAGGGAGGGAGGGAGGGAGGGAGGAGCTGCAGCTTGAGGCTCCCAGGCATTGCCCTGGCAGACAGATGTGGTTTCAAACCCAGGCTCATGTTGGCTGTGGACTTCCGGCAGTTCCGTGTGTCTCTGAGCTTCAGTCTCCTCAGTAGTGAAACAGAAGTGGGGCCAGGACCCGGATGACAGGTGAGGAGGAGGAAGGGAGCCCCAGCAGCCTGCTGCATGGACAGGGCTCAGGAAGTCTGTTCCAGGTCTGTTCTTAAAAAGATGTCTTTATTTGAAAGAGCGACAGACGGAGGGAGAGATGACAGATAAATGTAGATAGAGATTTTCCATCCACTGGGTCACTTCCCAAATGGCCTTAACAGCCAGGGCTGGGCCAGATTGAAGCCAGGAACCAGAAACTCCATCCAGATCACCAAGCTGCACGGCAGGGGCCCACGCACTCAGGCCGTCCTCTGCTGCC